ATCACCTCTAATATCATTAGCTCACAGACATTTACCTTCCCCCCGCATCCCCCTCATGTTCTGAAATGTGATTTGTCCTTTTCATATGTGTTCATTTTTTTAATTGTATCCTTTGGTATATATGGTTGTGACTATTTTCTTCCACTATTTGATCTGAGGAAGTGTGTCTGGCCCACGAAAGCTCATCATCTAATAAACCATCTTGTTAGTCTTTAAAGTGCTACATTGTCCTGCATTTTGCTTCACACAATATATATATTTGTCTTTCTTCTTTTTTTTTCTTCCTTTCCCTCCCCTTCCTTTATTTATTCTTGGATCTGGACTTTTAATACTCCAGTCATCTGAAGAAGTGGGTTGTGCCCATGAAAGCTCATGATACCATCTACGTGTTTTGTTAGTCTTGAAGGTGCTACTAGATTATTCGTTGTTTTTTAAGTTTTTCCAGTTACAGACTAACTCGGTGACCCCTCTGAATTTTTTATCATGGTAGGCAAGTAAATATAAGTAACAAGCTTGAACTCTTGCCACATGTTGCACATGTTAATGATACAGGTCTGTCTGTGCATGAGTTGCAGCCAAGCACACTACAAGAACAATAACTCACAGCAAGTATATTGGCTAATAGTAGAGAAAAGAATAATGACAAGAATTGAAGGGTGAGTTCTCAGAGCCTTGCCTTGCAAAGTAGCCAGTGCCCTCACCTCCCACAGAAGTCATTGGGAGTCGCAGATTCCTAGCACCTCGCAAGACTAGGCCCTGATTTAATAGGGTTTGGATTTTGTCATTTTCTCCACAAAAAGGCAGCAGGTGACTTAACTCAATGAGCCTATGACTCTAGGGTAACCCCAGGAAATTGGCCGAGTGCTAAAGCTCAGGGCTTGCATCAGTGTCAACACAAGGAGGCAAAGCAGGAGGACAGTAGGTCAGTGAGTCTGTGCTAATGGTGATTCAAGGTAACCCTGCTAGTGTTCATGCTGCTGGACCAAAGATGGTGTCTGTGTCCACCTTAGTCTTTGAGTTTCAAGTTTTGAGGCCATACCCATAAAGATGCTGCAAAGATGTGATTTGTTTATGTCCTTTTGTTTTTTCTGTATAGATTACTGTGCTGCTTTATAACTAATCTTTATTCAATACTGGATAGGGAAATTTATGTGAAAAGATTCCACAGTTCTAGCTTATAAAAGGTGCAAATGATGACAAAACACCCCAATGTCCCATGAACACAGCCACGCTGTTCGGGGAACAGATGGAGAAGGCTGGGTGTATGTGGTAGAGAATCCAAGAAGAATTGTGATTCTGAATTTGTTTTAATGATCATCTATAAAGGAGACAGAGTTCAATCCAAACTGAATGGATTAGTTTATGCTTGGGAACCTTACTGATGAAGAATAGTACTGGGCAATGTTGCAAATCCCATTTTAATAGGCTAAGACTTGGTATCTCTAGCTGGCCATAAATGCTTATGAAACTGTGAAATATATATTCAGGACTTGTTATCTAGAGCAGCCTTTCTGAAATGAATCTTTGTTGTCTTTCTTATACTTATTAGTTTGTCTTCTTTTTATTACTTAACACTGTGAAGCATTCTGGGACGTTGTCTGTAGAAAGCCTCCATACTGTATTAGCAAAAGTAATGGAAAATACGAGCAATAACAATATATTGAGAAAGGTGCTGTATGCAGGTTTCCTCAGATAGCTTTTCCTTGGCATACTAGGTGCTGACTGGTAACATCTCGCTAGTCTTCAAGTCCTGGGTCTCTATTCATCCTTAAGCAATCTGTCATGATGAATTATGTAAATCATGCAACGGGTTAGAGATTCGGTAATATATAATGTTATGTTTAAACGAGAAATACAATTTGATCAACAAAGGAAAATATTTCTAAATTTTTTGTAATTATAAAATACAGATTGTGTTGTACAGAAAAACTAAAAAGTGGTATATTCCGAGTTGGACCAAGAAGCATTACATTGCCAGTGATGAAGCTATTTGGAATTTGATCTGAAAGCCTTTTTAGACTGTATTAAAAATATACCCAGATACATTCTTACATAGTTCACATTTGCCAATAGTGCCCTTGCTATAGCTTTGCTTTCTCACCTCAAGAAAAAAAAATAACTTTTTCCTTCTCACTTCACAGGTAAAGTCTGTGATAAATCTGCTCTTTGCTGCTTACACTGGGGATGTATCTGCACTCAGAAGGTAAAATCAATATGGAATTGGGGAAAGGAAATCACTTGTGTTTCAGCTACTATTGCACATGAATTCTGAACATAAGACCATGGTAGAAGACATTATCATGAAATCATAGAATTCACAATTCTAAGGAGGGGTAGAAGGGAGAACAGCAAAATAGAGACAATGGATTTCGGGAAGGCGGATTTTGGTAAGCTCAGAGAACTGATAGGTAAGGTCCCATGGGAATCAAGACTGAGGGGAAAAACAACTGAGGAGAGCTGGCAGTTTTTCAAAGGAACATTGTTAAGGGCCCAAAAGCAAGCTATTCCGCTGTGTCGGAAAGATAGAAAATATGGCAAAAGACCACCTTGGCTTAACCACGAGAAATGCATGATCTAAAAATGAAAAAGGAGTCATATAAAAAATGGAAAGTAGGACAAATTGCAAAGAATGAATATAGGGAAATAACACAGGAATGCAGGGGCAAGATTAGAAAGGCAAAGGCACAAAATGAGCTCAAACTAGCTACAGGGAATAAAGGGAAACAAGAAGACTATTTATAAATACTTTAGAAGCAAGGGGAAGACCAAGGACAGGGTAGGCCCATTGGTCAGTGAGGAGGGAGAAACAGGAACAGGAAACTTGGAAATGGCAGAGATGCTTAATGACTTCTTTGTTTCGGTCTTCACCGAGAAGTCTGTAGGAATGCCTAACATAGTGAATGCTAGCGGGAAGTGGGGAAGTTTAGAAGATAAAATAAAAAAACAACAAGTTAAAAATCACTCAGAAAAGTTAGATGCCTGCAAGTCACCAGGGCCTGATGAAATGCACCTTAGAATACTTGAGGCGCTGATAGAGGAGGTATCTGAGCCTCTAGCTATCATCTTTGGAAAATCATGGGAGACAGGAGAGATTCCAGAAGACTGGAAAATGGCAAATATAGTGCCCATTTATAAAAAGGGAAATAAGAACAACCCAGGAAACTACAGCCCAGTTAGTTTAACTTCTGTGCCAGGGGAAGATAATGGAGCAAGTAATTAAGGAAATCATCTGCAAACACTTGGAAGGTGGTAAGGTGATAGGGAACAGCCTGCATGGATTTGCAAAGAATAAATCATGTCAAACCAATCTGATAGCTTTCTTTGATAGGATAACGAGTCTTGTGGATAAGGGAGAAGCGGTGGATGTGGTATACCTAGACTTTAGTAAGGCGTTTGATACTGTCTAGTATGATATTCTTATCAATCAACTAGGCAAATACAACTTAGATGGGGCTACTATAGGGTGGGTGCATAACTGGCTAGATAACCGTACTCAGAGATTAGTTATGAATGGTTCACAATCATGCTGGAAAGGTATAACTAGTGGGGTTCTGCAGGGGTCTGTTTTGGGACTGGCTCTGTTCAATATCTTCTTCAACGATTTAGATATTGGCATAGAAAATACGCTTATTAAGTTTGCAAATGATACCAAGCTGGGAGGGGTTGCGACTGCTCTGGAGGATAGGGTCATAATTCAAAATGATCTGGACAAACTGGAGAAATGGTCGGAGGTAAACAGGATGAAAGTGGACCACAAGCTGAATATGAGTCAGCAGTGTGATGCAGTTGCAAAAAAAGCAAACATGATTCTGGGATGCATTAACAGGAGTGTTGTGAGCAAGACATGAGAAGTCATTCTTCCGCTCTACTCTGCACTGGTTAGGCCTCAGTTGGAGTATTGTGTCCAGTTCTGGGCACTGCATTTCAAGAAAGATGTGGAGAAATTGCAGAGGGTCCAGAGAAGAGCAACAAGAATGATTAAAGGTCTAGAGAACATGACCTATGAAGGAAGGCTGAAAGAACTTGGTTTGTTTAGTTTAGAAAAGAGAAGACTGAGTGGGGACATGATAGCCGTTTTCAGGTATCATAAGGAGGAGGGAGAAAACTTGTTCATCTTGGCCTCTGAGGAAAGAACAAGAAGCAATGGGCTTAAACTGCAGCAAGGGAGGTTTAGGTTGGATATTAGGAAAAAGTTCCTAACTGTCAGGGTAGTCAAACACTGGAATAAATTGCCCAGGGAGATTGTGGAATCCCCATCTCTGGAGATATTTAAGAGTAGGTTAGATAAATTTCTATCAGGGATGGTCTAGACAGTATTTGGTCCTGCCATGAGGGCAGGGGACTGGACTCGGTGACCTCTCGAGGTTCCTTCCAGTCCTAGTATTCTATGAGTCTATGATTCTGTGATTGCTGCTTTAATACTCCAAAGTAGCAGGGCCATTTAAACACACAAGGTGTTAGAAGCAGTGCTAGATCCTATCAAGCTCATTTTTTTAATATCTATTCGTCAGATTCCTGACAGACCAAGGAGTTAAGCTCGTTATATAATCAGTCTCCATATCAAAACTTCATGTTGATAACATGAAAAATAATTTGTACATCTGGTTATAGCCAGAGGTGTAACAATATAAAATGGCATCATGATGCATGGACATAAACTGATTTTTCCCTTTGTGTCCACGTTCTCTTCATCTCAAATCTTTTACAGCAGTGGAAGCTCAAGCTGAGTTCTAGTCTACCTTGTAAATCAATTCCTGAATTATGAGCAGAGGTCAAACGTAGGAATGTTTATTGCTGGTGATGTAGGAGCCGAGAGAACGTTGCTTGATTTTCAGATCCCAAGTACTATAGAGCTGGCAGCATTTAAAAAATCCTTTCCATTTTACACTGAGCAGATTTCACAAGAGTCATTGACAGAGCAGATGAATGTGGAAGGCCTAGTTCTTCACTGTACCATTGCAAAGCTGGGACAAAGCTGGCTGCAGAGCTGCTCTAGGAGCTTTATAGTGGTTTGAGATCCTTCCTGCACAGGGTAGATTCTTCATAAAATGTCTCTGGCTGATGTAAGTTCCGTTTGCAGTTCATATCTCAGTGAACTTAATCAGTAAGGGTATGTCTACACTACAGCGCTATTTCAAATTAACTTAATTCGAAATAGTTAATTTGAATTAAGCTAATTCGAAATAATGTATCTATACACAAAAACTATTTCAAAATAGCACATCCACACTAAGTGGACCCTGAACCGAAGTTAAGGCTGGCCGGAACCAGTGCCGGCAGGGCATCAGGTTAGGCCTTAGCCTCAGGCAGCAGCCCCACGCACTAACTGAGCTCCGTGCTTAAAGGGACCCTACCCCTACCCAGACAGACAGTTCTCAGGGTTCCCCGCTTACTTGTCTACCTCGATGAGGGACAGCAAAGCAGTCCTGTCTTGGAGTGCCCTGAGTGCCAGAACTCGGGACACCACCGCACTCGGCCACATGGAGCCAGAGCTGCCCCTGGGCATGCTGGTGCATCTCGTGGGGTCATTGCCATCAGCCTGGCTGCACTTGCTGCAGGCTGCCATCCGGGGAGTCCATCGGGGGGCTGTTAGGATGCAGGAGGCCCTCAGTGAGAGCGTCCACCCCAAGGAGCCCTCAGAGCCTCCCCAGTCCTCCCCACCGGGGGCTCGTGCCCCATTCCTCCCTCACATCCTTCCACTTAGCCCTCCCTAGCCCCCCTTCCTGATGTCAAATAAAAGATACGTATGTTTAAAAATAGAAACTGGGTGTATTGAAACAAAACTGGAGGGAGTGAGGGGGGGATGAACTTCTGGGGAGACTGGGAAAAGGAGGTGGGAGAGGGGAAGAAAGAGGCTGGGAGAGGGGAAGGGGAAATCTGGGAGGAGGCAGCTGGAAGGGGGAAGCAAGGAGAAGAAGCGGGAGGGGAAGCTCAGTGGTCAGGGGTGGGGAATCTCACGAGACCAACTTGATTTTCACGCAAACCTGCTCCTGCGTTTACATGTGGCCTTGGGTGGCCAGGCTGGCAGCTAACCTGCCGTAGACAGCCACGTTCCTCCATCTAGTGCGGAGATCATGGGCTTTGGGGGCATCCCCCCCAAACCTGAATAAGGTCCATGATCTCCACCTTGGACCAGGAAGATGCCCGCCTTCTCTAGCCCCTGGCAGACTCCTGGGAACTGGTAGACTGCTCCTGGGGAGTGGTGGAGGGCTGGCTGCCAGTGGCTCGCTGGCTCATGTCAGGGGCCCCAGTGGCCACTGCTGGCTCTGGACTGGCAGGCTTAGAGCTGGCACAGGCACTGTGGCCAGGGTCTACCCCTTTAATGGCTCCGAGGCTGGGGGAGAAGAAAGTAAGTTTTCCTAGTTGTGCCCAGAGTGGCCTCCAGGGATCCCTGGGAAGGGTTGGAGGCCCCCTATTTTGAATTAAGTGTCTACACAGCACTTAATTCAAAATAACAGTCGTTATTCTGAATTAACTTCAATAGCGTCTATACATGCAAACCGCTATTTCTAATTAAATTTAATTCGAAATAGCGGAGCCCTTAATTCGAATTTGGTAAACCTCATTCTACGAGGAGTAACGCCAAATTCAAAATAGCTATTTTGAATTAAGTGTTACTCCTCGTTGCATGTTACTCCTCATGCAATGAGGAGTAACAGTTAATTCGAGGGAAGGGTTTTAGATCGGACTACCGCATCTACACGCAGCGCGTTAATTCGGGCTTCCAGCATTTTAAAATGGCGACCGGCCGCAGATATGCTAATCAAACGTGGGATATTTAAATCCTGCGCTTCATTAGCAACTTCGGTATGCTTCATTTGCCTCCCTAGTTCGAACTGGGGGCAAGTGTAGACAATACCCTCTTTTATTAAAGTTCAGATGAAAATATAATGTTCTTTTGCTAGTACTTAAATCCTGCCACAGAGGGCATCTCATTGTTTTACACTAAAAGTGTGATTACGTCTGTATTTCTTTAATTATTTCTGAGAGTGACTTTTTGAATTTGGTCTTTCAGATTTGCTTTGTCAGGTATGGATATGGAGCAAAGAGATTATGATTCACGAACAGCATTGCATGTAGCAGCTGCAGAAGGTAGTGTCTCTTGATAAATAAGATATAAGCTATTAATTTAGTGGTTTTAATTTAAAAAAGTATATTAAATCCTTCTTTTATTTTATAGGTCATGTGGAAGTAATTAAATTTTTGCTGGAAGCCTGCAAAGTGAATCCTTTCCCCAAAGACAGGTGAGTAATTGTGCTGCTGGTGTGAAGGACGGGAGCGTGTGTAGCTAATTATATTAATGAGTCCAGCTTTAGTGCAGTCTGTTGACTAGAGTTCTTGTTTCCTCTGAAATCTCATGTGTTGTTGAAAGTAGGAACAACTGGGACCATCTGATCTAGCCAGCTAATTTGTAGCAGGTGCTAGAGCCCATTTGATCCAACAACACTAATTCTCCCCTCTCCCCTATTCCCATTAAAGAAGCAGGAGTTCCAGACATCAGTAGGGAAAATTGAGAAAATAAAGCAACTGCTGCAGAATTTTCTTTCAAAAGTGGCATGAAGGCAAGAAAAAGGAATGTATAGATTGATGTGCTTGTGTGAATATATCTGCAGAATTTGCACATAAACATCTCTCACACCCCACATTTGTGTGTGTTCTTCTCCAACATGCGCAGTAAATCAACACAACAGACTTCGAGTGCCCCAGAGACCACAAATTAGACAGGGATTGAAAGCACCAGAGTAGATTTATTGCCAAGCGAGGTACAATAATAGTTGTCACCAAATAGACTTGCTGCTGCACCACTATACATATGTATGTCATGACAATGGAATAATACCCAATCAGTACCATTGATTCAGCATTGTCCTCACGGTCAGCTGACGACCACTTTTTGGGGTGCATTTTTGTACATAAAATGCATTCTAAAAGGAACCCATATTGCTACAGAGTTCTTACGCCAAGATTAAACTGTAATCAAGGTTGGTGGGAAGTTTATAATGTATCTACATCTGCTCTAACTACCAGCTTTTCCATTAAAACTCCTCAAGGGACGAGTTTGTCCTATGCCAAACGGATCAACATTAGGAAACATACTTCAGTAAAAATAATTTGTTTTTGGGGGTTGATTTACTTGGTGTGAGGAAGTAAAAAATGACTCTGTTGGAATGCTGTATTTTGAGATTTCTTACTCCCGTTTAAAGAGGGAATACACAATTGTATGCAATGAGCTTTGCATATTGTTGTTATATTTAGGAATGTTTGTTGGGAATCTGGATTTTGGTCACCCTTATCAGGTGATGTTTACCAGTTAAGGTTAACCAGTGCAGGTGGTGAGCAGCCCCCCCATCCACTGCAGGCTAGGGGTTGCTTCAGTCCTGTGGGGCCTGCTGTGGGCAGCTGGAGTAGGCCCAGCTGGAGTAGGCCCTGTCCACAGCAGGCCCAGCCCGGGCGTGCTGCGGACAGGGGAGTTCCACTTGGCTGCAGTGCCCTCCCAGTACCTGTTTAATCGGTTAACCAGTGTGACATAGTGTGGGTACCTTGCTGGTTGCTAGGCTTGGGCTGTGGGTGACCCCCACTGGCTGCTGTCTGTATCACGGCCCAGCCGAGTAGCTGATGGGACAGGGAGGTAACCTGTTCTACCGGTTACCTCCCAGGGAGAGGAACAAAGGAAGGTGGAATGCCACCCCTGGCTAGGGGGCAGGGCTGGAAGGGATAGTTAGTGTCTGTCTGGGATCATGGAGGAGAAGGGTCTGGCATTTAGGGTCCCAGTCTCCCCCATCTCAAGGGGGGCTGAGGCATCCTAGGCCTGCCCTGTAACCAGATTACACCTGTGCTGTGCTGTATCCTGCAGAAGCAATAAATTCTCTCTATTCTACTGACTGGTGGAGTCTGTTCGTACCACTATGGGGGTGCAGGAGATGGGGAAACCCCAACGCGCCGTCACAACCGGTTAAACACGTTTGACTGGTTAACTAGTTAAATGGGATTTTATATCCCTAATGAGGTGTAAATAGCATCAGCATGTATTTAGCTATTTTTTATGTTTACTGTTTTGTCTAGTTTGATTACCCTAATTCACAAAAGTGCACTCGTGCTATTAACAAGGGCTGGAAAAAACAGTTATTGTCTTTTATGATTTTCAAATCAAATGTGTTGTTTTTCATTTTTCAAGTAAAAAGTTTTGTTTCCAGTGACAAACAGCACAGATGCTTTCAACCTTGGTTTCTTATTTATTACCAGTGGTCATTTTGGAGTCTACATCACTGACAATGTTTATGTTGAGATTGGATTCTAGAAGATATGATCTAGGGATTATTTTGGGGAAGTTTTAGGGCCTGTGTTGCACAAGAAGTCAGAATGGTCCCTTTTGGCCTTGCACTGTTGAGTCCTGAGTAATAAAATGCCATGTTTTGTCTGTGGTGACATCTGTGAAATCACATTGATGTGACAGAGATGTGTGACTGGTTGGGCAGAAATTTATTAAACAATTATACTGAAGCACAAGAATGAATGGAATCCCACTCATTTTGTTAATTACTTTGATGCTGAAGGGATAGAAGAAGAAAAGCATCCGTTGTCAAAAAAAGGTTGGGCGCTACTATCTAATTAATTGAAGGTACTTACATAGTCACTGAGCTTAGTGCATAGTGCACTAGCAATTGTTGACTCAACCATCGGAATTCAGTGGTGGATTTACTTGCTTACTGATTTTAGAAATATTGTGCTCCCTGTTTCAGATGGAATAACACTCCTATGGATGAAGCTTTACATTTTGGACACCATGATGTATTTAAAATTCTTCAAGAATTCCAGATTCAATACACACCTCCAGAGGATTCCAGCAATGGAAAGGAAAATCAAACAGTTCATAAAAATCTAGATGGTTTACTCTAACCATCTTCAGCTAGATCCCAAGAATCAAATATCTTACCTATGTTGTTGTGGAAAATGAGTATGAAGAGCGTGTGTATTTCTGTCTGACAGTGGTGTATATTTTACAGATTATTTATTTCAGTGTTACAGGAATTTTCTTCATGATATGCAGCAGACAAACCCATCGCTCCAAAAAGCAAAAACAACCCTTAAAAATCTCTCTCCATAATGTGAGCAATATTACCTCATGTTACATATAATTGATGTAAAAGAAGTATTAGCTGTTGATATCTTTACTGTGCACTACTTAATTTATTTTTGTGTTCTATGTATATCTTCAACTGTAGTCAGGAATTTTTCTGCTGAATTTGCATTTCTAAACAAATCTCTTACAGTGTGGCCAAAGTGGAACCATGCTGCTGCCATGTGCAAGTGTCACTGTAGTTTTGCTAGATTTCAGCAAGTTGTGGATGCTGGTATAGATTTAGTTTGGGTTTGTGGAACAAGGATCTGCACTTATCTTTTTTTCCCTCATTTTTTTTCCATGCAGCCTTGTTTAACATAGTCACTGTGTCACCTTGATTGATCAGTCCATCAGACTTCACAGAATGCTGACCACAACACACTGTTCATGTTGCTCTAGCTCCTTCAGCCACACACTGACCCAACTGACAGTGGCACCAGACACCCAATTGGCATAGCGCACCACAGCCCAGAACCCCAGAGCTCAAGTGAGTCACCATCCTCAGCCTCCCAGGTAGCTAGAATTTCAGGTGTATGCCACTACAATCTGTTGTTTATATAATGTAAATCTCAAAATGGTGACATTTGCCAGTGGTCTTGGCTAATTGTTCTTAAAGATTTTTTTTTTCGGGGAATCTGTTTTAAGGTTGGTTTGATGACCAAATGACAGGGGAATATAACTTGTGACATTTTTTGAGCTTTTTCTTTCAAATGCCCTCATCTAGCCTCACTCTCTGTCCATATTCAGACAATGAAGTGCTTTTTCTTTAGTTGGTGCTTCCACAGTATTCATATATATGCATTATGGGGAATCTTGTAGACTGCAAAATAATTTATCTCAATCTTATGCTTTGTCCTTAGCTGCAACTGCACCAAAAACCATTCAGGGGACTATAAGTATGTGAAAGACAAAATACTTAACCAAATATTCTAAATGAGTTAGGCGCACAATAAAAAAGATGATGGATTGAAATAACTTAGAGAGGCATAGAGCTAATCAAAGCATGAAGCAAGATTGTAATTATGCCAAACTGTGGGTCTAATGTTCTTTTTAGGCTGGCATGAATCTTCACGTTTTGTTGAAACTTCTGAAGTTCTACTGGTATAAAACAGGTCAGAAATCAGAAACATACACAAATCAAGTTGTTCATTTGTATGTAGACTGTTTCATTTACCCTCATCACTGTATAGTCTGTGTCCTACATACATGAGTTACAAGGAATTTAAATCCAAACATTCTATTTTTGGAACCATTATATTGTATCAACTTCTTGCCCAATGCAGCAAGCTGATTACTGACACTTCCATATGAAATCACAGAGTGAAGTCCCTTAAAAAAAACTGGGTAGGAGAGTGCCCATTTTACAGTACTGAAAGTTGGTGATAGTCAAGCATCAGGCAGTGGAATTGACACCATTTATGGGCACTGCACACATCTCATGCATCTCAAAGATATGGCAGTAATAATTCATCCATATATCTCAAGATGCCCACTGTGCACACGAGAAAACTAAGGCTTGGAGAGGTCACCTAGCAGGTCAGTGGCAGAGTCAAGTTATGGAACCCATGTCTCCTGCAGCCCACTCCAGTGCTCTAGTCACCATGCACATCACCTCCCCATGGAAGAGAAATCAAACAGAGGCACTTGATATTCAGCACAAGCAGTGGCCTATCTAGCTCATAATAAAGATGCTGTCTTCTAGTAATTTGAAAACTTAAGTCCCTAAAATCTGATTAGTGAAAAATGCTTGCCTGGCATAAGTCATGCTTTATTCCCTCTTGATCTGATATTACTGTTCTCAAGCTACTTTTTTGCTTCAAGTCAGTTATTCACCGTAAGGCCTCATGCCTTTTTAAATTAGCCATGCCTTGTGTTGCATCCATCTTCCTTCTTAACCAAGAACTGGATGGAATACCCTTTGAACCCTTCTTGGCCAGAGGAGGACACTGTTGAGAGCACAAGGCCCTGTCTCTGCTGCATTCCTACGGAGGATAAAACCAGGCAAACTAAATCACACATTTTCCTCTATACATTCTTAGATCTACCTTAGGAAGTAAAATTTCTCAGGTGGGGCTTCAGGGGTATGGATTTGGTCTCAATCTACGAGACACTTCTATTTGTCTCTCTCTGGGTTGCTAACAAAATGTATCCTCTGCTGGCTTAAAAAAAAGTCAGTGATCTATTTTGATGAAATCAGTCAAATTTACTTTGCTCAGACAATAAATTTTCCAGAAGGTAGGTAGGTAGGTATATGCACTGAAATATAAAGGTATTTTAATTAACTATCAGTGAGCTTATGACTGTCCCTAAACCGAATGCTTTTCTCCCCCATATTAAGAGCTTTTAGCAAGATTTATAGCACCGATGCATTTTTATCAGGACAGTTTTGGTAATATTTTCCTCATTGTACCAGGAGATATTATTTTGCAAAGATTGTGCCCAGTGGAAGCAGTGCATTTATTTATATATGCAATTATTTATAAATGTTGTTCACTTGTTTGGCTGCTCATCATTGCTGGCACTGACACACACATTTTAATTTAAATGGCTTATCAAATACTGCCATCCTTATGCTCCAAAGAGTTTTCTGTGCTGTCATATATGTGCTTATGTATCACTGCAGCTAGAAATGGTTAAGCTAACTTAATGCTTTGTACAAAGAAATATTGTGCTGATCTTAGCGTTAATTATCCCAGCTTTTTTGTGAAAAATGTGATGTAGTGGACTGATACCTTTTTAGCTACAGAACTGGACAGTCAATGAGTGTTTTCATTGATGCGATACTATCAGCAATTGTGACTGATTGATGTGACATTTTAGATTTCTTACTGTGGGGAATAGACAGTGATGAATGTATTTGCTTTCAGCAATTTCTTGTAAGTGAATCTAAATTTAAAATTACTAGAGCTGTACTGGTTCTGAAAATGAAAGATATTTATTTTAATGAATAAAATCCAGGTATTATTGCTTTTTACAGCACAATTAAACAAGAATACCAAAAATTATTGATGTATGAGAGTTTTTTTTATTGGTTAGTTATATCATTTACCCCCCTCTAATAGAAATAGCCAAAGCGAGTGGAATGTGTGGTGCCTTTCATCTCAGGCGGCTTTGAAGCCTTCTAGTATTGAGGCTACTTTTGTACTGGGAAGGTCTTGTGCCAAGCTTTAATTATAGCATCAATCATCAAGCGTATTGAATATTCTCTCTATATATATTAAAAAAAATTTCTGATGGCAGAGTGATGTCATTGTGTCACTCTGCATCCCACAGCCTCTCCCCCCTCCCTGCTGCTAATCCCATTAGCTCAGAACTAGGCTCCTAGCGCTTCTCTGCAAGCCCAGGCTTGTAGTTGGGGGGGGGGGGGGGCACCAGAGGCCCACACTGATTGTAAGGGGGGAGGTAGAGGCCCTGGCTCCCCTCACCAGCAGCTGGGGTTGAGGGGGCACAAGAGACTGGGGCTGGTTCAGAGGGTGGGGTGGCAAGTGCAGCTAGCAGGGGGCACAGCCTCCTACCAGTTTCAAATCTAAAAGCCTGAAAATGCCAAATAGGCACGCTCAAGCTTTTCTTCACCAGTACAGGTGCCCAGCTGGTGATGGAGAAATGATACTAAAAGGCATAACTAACCTTCTGTGGGTATTCTAAGAAGCAGCTGGTCTTAAGGATGTTTCTATTCTTTAGGAATAAAGGTTACTGCTGAGATGAGGAAGATCCCTGAATCTGGTGAATCAGGAATTAGATGGATGCTCTGGCTTTTGAAATAGCTAAGAACCACAAAATGAAATAGGGATATGTAGGCATCATTTTTGCTTCTGAAGTTTCCTTAACAAAGCCCAGCCTCATACTATAGCAGAAAATTGTGGAAGCAATCAAGGGATTCTACTGAAAACCATCACCACTTATGCTAAGTAGATCTCAAATTGGAGCCAGGAGTGGAGACTTTCATGGTTTCAAGATGGGAATGGCCTTCTGGAGCAAAACCCACCTTTATATAATGTAATACAATCAAACAATCTGATAGAGAATGACAATGTCTTCAACGAACACCTTCAATTTCCTCCAGTGATGGTAGACGAGTGCATCCTCACACATGATTTACAAATTAGACATACAGGTTAGACCTCCCTGGTCCAGGGCCTGTCCCATCCCAGATGAGGGATTTTGCAGGACTGGTCATTTCTTGCCCTGATGCCATCAGCCCCCTCTAGCCCTGGCCCAATCACTGCCCTCGCAGCTGGATTCCCCTTCTTGGTGGTCCTGCTGTCCTGTCAACCCCATCTGCTCTATTGGGCAGTGCCGACACCTCTGTGCGCTGGGTAGCTGCACTGTCTCTGCTTGCTGGGCTTCCACTGCTGTGTGATACAGCCCCACCACCTGTGTGCGCATTGGGTTCCTGCTGCAGCCCCACTGCCTTTGCATACCAGGCTCTGATGTGCAGCCCCACTGCCGCTATGAGCTGGGTTCCCACAGCTGAGCCTGACACCTGCTGCTGCTCCGGGCAGCCACATATCCACTGCGGCAGATTCCCGCTGACCTGCCAGCTCCCTGGTGTTTGCCCTCCACTGGAACTCACTGGTCCTGGAACATCTGTGATCCTGTTGTACCACAGATGTTGCCGGACCAGAGTCCCTGTTAAGAATGCCAGTTAAGAGAGTTTCAACCTGTAATAAAAAGCAGTTTCAGAGAATTTATCCTGACTGCTTAACTACATTAAAAAGTGAGTGCTACTAGGCATCAGACTAGCCAAGCCCGGGAGGGCCCATTCTAGGCTACTACTATCACCAAGTCACAATACAATGAAAAATTAATTTGGTCTGAAATAAGTTGCCCAGCATTAGTAGGAAGAGAAAGCTGTATTCCTGGTTCTAACAAGTTGGAGAATTTTTAAAAAATAACTTTGCATCTATCTTCAAGTGATTCTGAATATTGTAAAAACAACGACAAGTCCTGTGGCACCTTAGAGACTAACAGATTTATTAGGGCCTAAACTCTTTGCTGTTTTTGCAGATACAGACTACCACAGGTATCCTTCGGAGACTTTTCTGAATAGTGTGTTACTGAAATGAGGCACAATAGCAGCTCAGTGGCTGCAATGAAGATTTTATATACTGCCTCTCTTAAAAGCATCCATGCTGTGTGTCTTGTTCTTTTTACAAGTGTATATGCTAAAAGGGAAGATGTTCAGAATCATTTTCAAGGCTTTTTCCAACTGCTCCCTCCTCTCTTCAGAAAGAAGGCCCTGAGCGTATTTACAAGGCCATTATAGTTTACCTATTCATGCCCCTTCCTCTCACAGAACCAGCTGACTTCCATACAGAGATGAAACTGCCCCAATGGTCTTGCAATCAAATAGAAGCCTTCATGATGTCAAAAATTCAATGAAATTTCATGAGTCCATTGTTTTTTTAAGATTATTGTATCAATCTCATTTATTAATAACCATGTGACACTAAGTGACACTTCAGGGTTTTTTTAACCTGGAAAAGACTATATCTGGTATTATAATGATCATCCATGCAAAAATGGCATAAAGCCATCTATGCCTGGTAAATCTTTGAATTTGTGAGAAAATCTGACTGGCAGATACAATATGAATAGGTATTTGAAAGATATTGTACAGAACACATCACAGGTCTTACATCTACATCACTTTACTTGATAGCTATTAAATATTTATGTACATTTAGCTACTCTAAAAAGAGAACAAAAATAAAATTAAGCTGTTGATATATTTTTCATTTATGATCATTGATTTTTTAGATAGCGGAATCCAAATAAAGCAAACTGGCACGATTTTGCCACCTAAGCAAACATTCCTCACGGATCCTTTCAGGATTTTTCATAGTCAGAAAATCATAGTCCTTTCTTTGTGGGCAGCAGTGATGTAAAACTTTAACCACATGCAAAACTTTAACGATGAGCCTATAGTCATTGGTTAACATTCACAGTAACACACCGGCTCCCAGTATGCATGGGGAGGCAGCTTAAAAGATGGTTCCTATAGAACCATCTGTTGCTTCATGCCCACTGCTGTCCCCGTGTAACAGCTGAAATTTTCAGCAGTTACATAGTTACTTAATTCTATGAATTTTAACATCCCTAGTAGGTAGCACTTACTGGCACGCTTTACCACTTCCTTTTTACGAAGCAGGCTCCACCTTTTCAACCTATCTGACCAGTTTTCAGAGAAGTAGCTGTCTAAGTCTGCTTCAGCAAAAACAAGGAGTCTGGTAACACTTTAAAGACTAAGAAATGTATTAGGGTAGTAGAGCATAAGCTTTCATAAGCTACAACTCAGTTTCTCAGATGCTGAAGAGAAAAAAAGACGTAGGGAAAAAATACAGAGATGGGAGTGTTACAACAGTACTAATTAAATCAGAATGGATGTGGCTAATCTCCAACAGTGGTGAGAAAGTGATTGTTCCTGAATAGTAAATGGAGAACTACGCTGTGTGTTTTAGACCTTGGTTCAGGGTGTTAAATTTGCTTATAATTCCAGCTCAGCAGTGTCTCTCTGCAGTCTGTTTTTCTGCCTGAGAACGGCAACTTGCTAGTTCAAAACTGCTGATTAAAGTGCGCCCCCACTGGCTTTTGAATGTTGCCATTCTTAAAGTCTGATTTCTCTAAGGCTATGTCTACACTACAAAGTTTTTCCGCAAAAACCGACAGAGCGTCCACATCTCAAGTGAGTTTTTGTGGGGAAAAAAAAAACCACAGTAAATCGACAAGATAGAGGATTTTTGCCAGTAGAGTTGGAATATCCTCATGGAATAACTCCTTTCTGCGCTACAGATCTTGCGCAAAAAGGCATGAATGGATGCTCCGCAGGGGTTTCTTGCACAAAAAGAGCCTATCTCAAAAAGCACAGGTGCTCTGATGGTCATTCACAGAATGGCCATCAGAGCTTTCTTGCACAAGAGCATCTGTGCAGTGTGGACGCTCTCTTACGCAAAAGAACATTGCTTTTGGAATGCGCTTTTGAGGTGTGGACATGCTTTTGTGCAAGAAATTTTAAAAGCTTCTCGCACAAAACCCCTGCAGTGTAGACAAATCCAGACAGAGAGAAACTGCTGAGTTGAAAGGCATATGCAAATTTGACTTCCTGAACCAAGGTCTAAACAAACACATGGAGTGGTTCTCATATTACAACAGGTTATTTCCCATTCAGGAACTCTGACCTCACCACTGTTGGAGATTAGCCACATCCATTCTGATTTAATTAGCACTGAAGTCACACTTCCATCTCTGTATTTTTTTCCCCTCTTTCTGTGTTTCTTTTCCCTTTCGGCATCTGAGGAAGTGAGTTGTAGCTCATGAAAGCTTATGCTCTCCTACCCTAATACATTTAATAGTTTTTAAAATGCTACTGCACTCCATGTTGTTGTGGCAATGTAGTTCCATGTCACTTATAAGCTAATTCGCAAAATGTTCCTCAGTGCAGCAAGAGCCAAAGTATTACAGCTATTGAAACTCTGAGGAGAGCAAATTAGTGACTTCCTATTTCATGAGGAATTATGAATGCGTAGTGAGATTTGAAAATCAATGAAATCTGTGTAAGGGACCATCCTCATTAGGTAACCATGACTTAATTAGCTTCCAATCTATTGAGAACAAGTCTTCTCTTCCTCCAAGTACCAAAGCTTGTGTGGGCTATAAGCACCTAACACAGTCACTTGTGACTCATCTTGCTTTAACCTGTGGTTATGAATGAAGATGCGCGTCCATGCAGCCCTCTTTCAGATAATCAATATTAAAAATGAGAAGTGTTCTAAAACATGACTTCGTTAATAATGGGATGCCCAGTATGTACAGGAGGGCTACGTCTACACTGGCCCCTTTTCCGGAAGGGGCATGTAAATTTCACGAGTCGTCGTAGGGAAATCCGCGGGGGATTTAAATATCCCCCGCGGCATTTAAATAAAAATGTCCGCCGCTTTTTTCCGGCTTTTAAAAAAGCCGGAAAAGAGCGTCTAGACTGGCCCCGATCCTCCGGAAAAAGTGCCCTTTTCCGGAGGCTCTTATTCTTACTTTGAAGTGTTACCCTCTCTCTCCCCCCCAAAGAGACTACGGGCAAAATCAGTGTGGTCAGTATAAACATGTAAAGCAGCAGGGACTGTAGTCTGTGAAAATCAGCATAGTACCACTGACTTCAGTGGGGTTGTGCTGCAGTCAAGCCCTTTAGGGTATGTGTGTGCTTCAGTTAAAAACCTGCAGCTCACCTGGGCTAAGGGGGCTATTGAATTGCAGTGTAGCTGCTTGGGCTCATCCTAGAGCCCGAGCTCTCAAACCCTGCAAGGTGGGTGGGTCCCAGAGTTCAGGCTGCACCGTGAGCGAGAACAGCTCCACTAACCCCTTAGCCCAAGCCTCAGGAGCACAGGCAGCTGGCACTGGCCTGCCACAGGTTTCTAACTGCAACCTGGGCTAAAACAAATGTGTTATTTTTCAATTAAGGTAACAGTGCTTCTTTCGCTGTGGGGTGGAGATGCTAGGAGTGCTGTTTGTTATTACAAAGAGGAAAGCAAGACACACTTGTCCTCTGAATGGGCTTGCTCATACTCTCAATCAAGTCAACAGAAAAGTCTCAGCGATTTAGTGCACATCCATCTTCTTGGCCTGCAGTCTGCCTGGCCAAGAGCTGCCTCTGTCAGTTTGACAAATGTGCATTTCTTGAGGATCTTTCAATTCTCTATTTTTCAGGCTTAATCCCCCCACCAGTATCAATGTTACAATATTTTGTTTGTTGGGATGGCAGCTATGTCACAATGACAGACATCCCCCCTATTCATAATATACTTTGGGTAACAGTTATTTAAAATTAAATTTTAAATTTAAACTTTTATGTGCTTTGTGACTACTTAGTGGACACATGAATTTTCATATTAGACAATAATTAATTCTGTCAATGTCACAGCACTTTAACCCCCACAAGTAACTACCAGCACAGGTGTAGGCTATGACGTCTGTGCAGCAAGAGCAAAGACCCGCCGGGGAGAAATCCTTGCAGTTAGTTTGCAATGATGGTTGGAGGGAGGGCAGTGTTTGGATTAAGGACCCTCTGAGGAAACATCTCTCTACTGCCTCTCAAAGATTTTACTGAACTATACTCCACGTAAGTTATTGTGCATAATTCTACAGTGTCTGGCTTTCAATTCCGGTGTGCCATGGCTGAAAACAAAATATGCAGCATGTGTTCAAACACTGTTCTTTGGGGTGACATAACAGCCTTTGGGAATATTCTACATGAAAAAGATTTTGAGAGACGAGACATCCTCTTCCATGGGTATTTCTTTTCTCAATGAGTAGTACAAGTAGTAGATCTGTATTCCACTCTTACCATAACATGCTTTTTTGTAGTAAAACAAAATAAAAAAAGCATATGTCACTGATTTAGCAGAGCAGAAGCAAACAGCCCAGTGCAGTTTGTGGCTGTACCCTTTGAGGAAGTAAGCTTTCATTTTAAAGAAAATATTCTAGATCTCTTCATTGCAAAAAAAAGCCTTCCAAGTGTGAGTCAAAGTGCAAACTGAAGCTGTATTGTTTGTGTATGAGGGCAGTCTGAAACCACTCTCACAGGTGTGAATTACCCTTACTTTAAAACCTGAAGACAACATTATAAATGTCAACATAATTATTTCATTTATGATACATTTAGAATAATTGGGGGCTTCGCCCATAAACCTACACTGCTCTCCCAATCAAAAGCCTCAACGGTCCATAGACTTCCAGCTTCCCACCCCAACCTTCTCTCCTGGAGTGTTGCAGTAACAGAAAATTCTCTAGCCCATTGAAAATTACAATTAAACAAATGTAGTATCACAATCAGTACCATACTCTAGTTATTATTCATTTTTATACTTAACTCAGTAAGAAGTTCAATTCCTTAATTGAACTGAAGCATCAGCCTGATGCACTGGTGTGCCACACTATTCAAGGGCTTCCCTCAGAATTTGGAGAAAGCTAGCCACAAACTATACAAAGCCTTGAGTACCTCGGCAGGCTGTGGAACAGGGAAGGAGAAAAATGCAAGCTACCTAAGGATGCACATGTGCAAACGGTATAGGTGAGAGACCGGGACCACTTAAGTTGGATAGGCTGAACACATCTGCAAAGAGAGCACAGGTTAATTAAAAAAAACCTCTTAAAATCTAGCCTAAAACAAACCATAGCAAAGAATGTACTAAAATAGTCTTACACTTAAAGTCTACTGTAAAACGTAAGTGCCATTTACTATTATTTGTCATGGCGTTACATAGTAAGAGCATTAGTACTGTTGTGCTGCTATTTGTTAACGGGGCTTAAACTCTGACAGCAAAATTGTTAAGTAATCCAAAAAATGGATGTGTTACTCAGGGTTTTCAGAACCCACTACACTGGGGCCACTGCTCAAGCTGTCCTGGGACCAGCTGCCCCAGAGCAGCAGTGTGGGAGCAACAGCACTGTTGGCCACCCTCCACCTAAAGCTGCCCCCCCCCGGCCTGGAGCAGCTGTGGGGCCCCAGGCTGCTCCCTTGACTCCAGAGCAACAGTATCTGCCAGAGTACCTCCCCTTGCCCCTGGACATAGAATCAGGTATTTATAGTACAAGACATGGACAAGTCAAGGGTTGTGAATTTTATTTATTACCCATGACCTATCCATGACTTGTATTATAAATACTCAACTGACTTGTACCCTTTAGCTCTAACCTGCAAAGGAATGTGTTTGCATTTCCCGCTAATTGGAGGTGGTCACTTATTCTGGAAGGCTAGTTTGTGTTCAAATCAGAGTCAATTTAAAATACGAAATATTCCATGTCAGGATAAAAAAGGAGCCTTTTAAAAGCAAAATTATGTATCCACTCCCCTCTCCTCCCACTGCTACCACACACAAAAAAACCAAACCAACATACCACAGTATCAATTTCTGCAGGGCTCACCATTCGAGACACCTCATCAAAATCTTCAGGAGACATGGGTAAGAGGTTTTCTGTGGTCTGGAGTCTGGACGGGTGGCTGACATGGAGAGAAGAGATAAACCTTTGGTGTATTAATATTAATTTCAATAAAGTCATTTCATTTAACATTTCAAAATCCTTTTACTTCAGTTGGTTGATTTTTAATAGCGTGTGTCGCTCACCATGGTATCTGGCCCCCTCTCATTCAATTTAAAAAGCAACAAGTAGAGTAGATGTCACTGAGAAGGGTGATTCGATGAAATTATATCTATCTCATTTTGCAGTAATGGTAATTATGCAGTCTGATTAAACTTGAGCTGTCGGAAGATACCACCTTTCACCAAGAGAATCCATTACAAGGGACTCCTTGGCTTTATGCAGAGTGTCATTGAAATCTTAGGACAGCTGCAGACCCCAGTGCCTATGGACCCTCTTGCCACCACATCTACACAGGGATAAAAAAGCCATTGCTACTCTAGGACAGCTGAATCAGGCTGTGTGGATGAAAAATTACTGTGTAGCTCCTGTGAAAATGCAAGATACCAGAGTTCACGCTTCAGCCCTAGCCAAAATGTCAACATAATTTTTAGCCCTGCGAACCCAAGACAGCTGATTTGGGCAAGCCATAGCTGTGCTGTGGATCTTTTAACCCAGTGTAGCTGTATTCTGCAAGATCAACAGCTTTGACTTTAGTAAACCACCAGCAGTAGGAGGTTCCATAAGCAAAAAGCCCAGCCTCCTCTTAACTGCACTGCTGAGACACAGTGTTTCAATCTGCCATGCAAGAGTGGTTTTAATACAAATGGACATGAGAGGTGCGTGGCTGGGGATACATACTGATTTACTAAAATCAAGTCAAGCTAGGTCAGGTTAGTCCAAAGAAAACTGAGGTAGCTAATTTTTACAAAAAATCAAGTATGAAAAAACAGCTTTAAATTGCCTAAAGATTTCTACATTTTGTATTTTAACACAGTAGCTTTTGTTCTAATTTGTTAAGTGTATTGTGGTGTCTTTCTACCCACTGGACTTAGCAAAGCAGAGAGCTAATGGCAAATCATGTGCATCTTTAACACTCCTAAAATGTACAAAATTGGTTGTAGTTTCAAATACAATCCAATTTCTAGAAATCCAACTTTTCTGTTGAAACTTACACTTCAGATACAGAGATTAATTCAGTTTTGATGTATCCATTCCCTTTGGGGCCATCTAAATCCATAGGCTCAGAGGCTAAAAAAAAAAAAAAAGATACACCTATGGTTACCAAAATTTTCATTGTGGGAAATCTTTTCTATGAATTAAAGCAATAGTGTCAAAAATTACATTTATTTTTGAAAATGTTTTACCAGCTACTGTTACAAATTAAGGCTGCCAGAACTGAAAGAGCAGAGATGAATATTTCACTGTATTTCTATTTGTTTTTCATTAAAGAAGACTGTGTGTCAAATCAGTTTCCACTGTTTGACTTTTGCCACATAGCAAAAAAGAGAAAAAAAACCCCAAATAAAGGAAAACCTGGTCCTGATACACGCAGGCAGCATTTTCTTCCCACTGATGTCAATGCAATGTCATATAAAGTGCCAGGGTTCAGTTACAAGGATCTAACTGCTAGTGGGGACATAAGGTTGTAAAACTATACAATGTGGCAAGCAGATTTAGGAGCAGCTGTTTGGCCTGATACCATGTACAGAATTTCCAATCTGACTAGATTTCCCACTGACAATCTTTGTACAGCCACATTTTTTTCCACTTTTTGAACAGTCGTGATACATTTTAGATGGGAAGAATTCAGGTATGATTTAAAAACACTGACCATTCTGATTCAACTACAATCATTTCATTGTATAGCACAGATATAATATGGTATTCCAATACTTCAATGACAAACAGGTACCTCAAAACACTTCTGCAAATGAAATGTTGATATCACTTACTCTCCTTGGGCCTGGAGTAGTATTTCCCAAAGGCATTGTCTTTGGGAATATTTGGATACAGATAGATCAGTGGATTTTCAGGAATATTTTCAGCCGCCATCACTTTGTAGTTGCGAATGATATCAGGGAAAGTAACAGCTGAGAGTTCCTTCTTGGTATAAGGTTCTACGGAATGGAACTGAGGTTCTGGTGAATAAAGAAGGATGTGAATCCTTGAGAGGTGCTCTAAGCGTACAGTATTAAAACTATACAGAAAAACACAGCTGAGCGTTTGTATTCACAGAGGGTCAAGTGAAGGAAGGGCCTTATAGAATGAAATCTAATTTGTACTATGTTACAATTTCAGTTATTTCCAAGCAAGTACCACTCCATGCAGAGGAAAGTATGACCTAACAGTAAGAACAGTTCTTTTCACATGTTTTATTCAGAATGTCAGAGGTGACTTGTGTTTACCCCTGGAAATGGGCTATGATCATACAATATAGTTCAACTAATCCACACTGAAGTTTACAAGACTGGCCCTTTTCAGTCTTTTCTGATAAAATTCAAGGCCACAAAGAAGGAAGAAACAATGGGCAAGGCATCTGCTTTCAGCAGCAGCAGTCAGTGGATTTTCCTAGGCCAGCAGTTTTCAAAGTACAGATCATGACCCAGTACCGGGTAGTGGAATGTCAGGCTCTGGGTCTCATTGCTGCATGGGGGTGCAAAGACAGCCTACCTGCCTGTCCTGGCATCGTAGACTGCGCTGTGCCACAGAAGGGGCCAGCAACAGGATCAGTTCCTAAGGGGAGAGGGCTGTGCACACTGCCCCTGCCCCAAGCACTATCTCCACACTCCCATTGGCTGGGAACCTGCTGCTGGCTGCTTCTGGGGTGCAGCATGGTCTGCGGTGCCAGGAGAGGCAGGAAGCTGCCTTAGCAGCTCTGCTGCACCACTGACTGGAGCCGCTCAAGGTATGCCCCTCTTGCCCTAGCCTTGACCCACCCCCCCCAAAAGCTGAAGCCTCCTCTTACAGCTGAAAGCCCTCATAATCAGCCCCAACCCAGAGCTCACACGCTAGTCAAATTATATTGAGTCATGGGCATCAACAATTTTCTTCAACGGGGTCATGAGAAAAAAAGTTTGAAAACCGCTGTCCTAGGCAGTTTAGTAGTTGGGACTCCATTAGCTGGAGCAGCAGCTACAGCCTCCTGCCAGCAGGGGGTGCTATGTCTCTCCTCTACAATCAGCACAGTCTCTGCCCCGCCCAGGTGCCTCCCCAGCTTAGCAGGGAAGGAAGCTCACCAGGGAGGCAGCTGAGCTGCCTGCAGGGGAGTCACAGCTGCCCACTGTGTCGTCCCTCTCCACTCTGGAGGCAGGTGCAAGGGCATTGCTGGTGGGGAGCAGGAAGGGCAGGGGGACCAAGGGCAGTTGGGGGGTGGGGAGGGAATTACAGAGCTAAAGGAAGAGTCTTGGGGGGGAGGGCAGTGCAGCAGCAGCAGCAGCACCACCACCCTGGGCATGGGGAGGCTTGGGAGGTACAAGTGAGAGCAGGGTGCTTGGGGAGGCATGAAGGATATGTACTTGGTCATCCTGGGCTGGAAGAAACCTGGTGTGAGGGAATGATCATGGGGGGGGGGAGGGTTTGGGAATCTGTCCTGCACAATATGAGAGGCCAAACTGACTCCTCAGGAAATGCCTCTTTCCTCACCTGAATTAATCGAAGTGGCCTACCAGATTGCTTATGGAATATTATACTAGTGGTAGTACTATGGCACTTACCAGATAGGATTGTTTATTTTCCAGAGTCTGTGTAAGGGAGACAGTGGTTGCCAAGGATTTTTAACTTTGGTTTTCAAATACAGATATAAACCCAAGTTATTCTCTGTGTTTACTTACCATTTTGAGATCCCTCTACCCAGGTAAAAGTGATGGCTCCTTCTCGGCTACTTTCACTAAATCTCAGTAAAAATGTCCCTGGCCTTTGGACCTTTAACAAAGCACGTTCTTTCTCCTTACTGATAAAGCCCATGATACAGCTGTAACATTGAAAAGAGAATTGTACATTTTACTTCTGAGCACATCCAAAGCATACTGAGTTACCACATGCAAGTAAAAGCGGAATTTTCCAATTGGTTTATAATGCCCTATGCAACTGTAACACCATCATCAATGCACAAACTGAAATGCACTCTTGCTTCTGGGTGCAGTAGTCCTTGAACAGCAGCTATCTGGAGACTGACAGTACAGTCTTTCCTTTCATTCTATGTGTAACCTACTATAACATGTTTTTTTTCCCTCAAACCTTTTAAAATCAGAAATTGGTTAGTTATCCAAAACAAAATGTATTCAATTTACACATGTGTTTGCAAGACCTGGGCCTAGAGAGTAGTTTTACCTTAATGAGAACATTAAGTTGTCATTAAAGAAAATTGTTGCTGCTTTTCTTTTTCACATTCTGTGTTGGAATCACAGACAATTATTTGGGTTTCTCAGTATTTGATTTTGTGCTCGCTTCCCAGACAGCATGGGTATCTCTGCCAGATCAGATAATAACAGTCTAGGTTATTTCAATCCCAGTATTTCATTGTATGTTATACCATGTTTTCTTACACTTGGAAACACTCTAATAGTAGCTCACTTTGCTTTCCCTCTTTATGCCAGGGTACTATGAATTGTCCCTTTGGAGAGTTTTATTTTTTGTCAGATGCTTCAGAGTGAGCTGGGATAATTTTTGTGGCCTTAATGGAAAGGAGCTCTTAGGAGAGCAGATGAAGCTGTGTCTAATCTGCTTGCAATGCCTGAATATACCTGAACATGCTAGATGGGCCTGTGTGATATGACAGAGTAACATATGGATATGATGGTGAAGATCTTAGAAAGTGAATACTCATGAAGATGACACAAGAGGCTCTCAAATAGGAACATGAAGGAAGAGAGTGCTCCCTGTACAATGACTTCCATCCATTAGGAATATCTGTATTTTCAAGCTTGGAGATGATGTAGCCCTGATGCATTCACCTAGCAATATTGTCCAGATTTTCTCCAATAGATCAGAATTTGAGAGAGAGAGACAAGGGGTATTTTTGGCTTTAAAATAATGTTCCTGCTTTATTTACCTATGAGTTCAAATGTTATTTGAATCATTGCTCTTCCCTCATTTATGTAGTAAGTAAATTACAATTACTTTAGGTATATATATCTCTGGGTCAGTCCAGCACATCAGGAAATACACCATTTACTCAAAAGAGAACATGAAATGTACATGCTAAATTATATATTGAGAGCTTTTTAAAAAGAACTCAAAGGATTCTTTAGGACTATATATCCCAATCCTTTCTTTGGCAATCTTCAGCTTGATATATGAAAAAGGCACTATGAGGACAATTATGATCCCTATTAGATCAATGCTGATGCCATGTATATGCCATAGATGTTTATACTGACTCCTAACAAGTCTTTTTTTGTATAGTCTGATTCAGGGCCTCTTGTGGTTCCAGTGGTTTATTAGCCCCTCTTAATTAAATTTCTGTTATTTGGCTCTCCTAAAAACACCTAATAAATATTTTAAAACTTACGCCTGATGTAACAAACGTGTTCATCTCTGTTTCTATAGACCTTGTGTTGTGTTACTTGTCTGCAAATCCTTTAGGTTTAATTGAAAATAAAGGTCTTATTATACCTTTTTATTTCTGTTTCTGCTCTTCAGCTAATAAACCGAGGGCTTAACTGTTCAGGATGAAATTTGTTGTTTATAACTCTGTGTATCTGTAAGTTGTTCTTGTAGATGGTACTAACGTTATTATACAGAGACAGAAAGAGCACCCTGGATACTAGTTGCAAAACTCTCATTAACTTTAATAGGGCCAAGATTTCACCCTATTAACTAAAAACAAACAAAAACTTCTTTATGGGTGTGGGTGTGAGAGAGTAGCTCCCATTGTTAAGCCTAATGGGGCTGACAAGGGTGCCTGGAAAATCCGGACTCAACAATGGGCGCTGATCAGTTTCCAAAGAGTAGGACAAAGATTTTCGAAGAGGAGCAGAGATTATAATACAGAAAAAGAGGAGATTTATGAAGGGTGAAGTTTGTTGGGGGTTTTAATGGGAAGCTTTAAGGGGAGAAGTCAGCACAGAGATCTGTAATAGCTAAACAAAAACTCACGGTGAGAACACGGCACACGTTAGTATAGTCACTTCCCTAAGTATTTGCCTTACCTCAAGCACATATGACATTTTGTTAGTCACATGCAAAAACACCTTGTTCATTCAAACCTAATATCCATAATTTTCCTGGTTTAAGTTTTAGTCCTGGATATGAATGTTATTTTGCCAGCACAAATACTCTAAAACTGTCGTTAAAATAGTAAGAGTTTGTCACTGTTTTCATTAATTACTGATTGTCAATATTAATAGATAGCCATTTTTACAGAATTTTTCTGTAAACAGTAGGGATGTCAACAGTAGGGATGTAATAGAGTAGCCTATTAACCAATAAGCAAAAGCTTATTGGTTAATGCTATAGGCTACATGCATTTCCCCTCCCCCCCATTTGCCAGTAAATTTTTAGAGGCTGGCTAGCAGCCCGGATCAGTTCCAGCTTGTGCAAGGTCCAGGACCTACCCCTGCTGTGCCTCTGCATTTAGGGTACGTCTACACTTGCTCCCTAGTTTGAGCTAGAGATGCAAATGTAGCTGACCAAAATTGCTAATGAAGTGGGGATTTAAATATCCCGTGCTTCATTAGCATATTCTCACCCGCGCGTTATTCCTGGTTCGAATCAGCTGTTGAGCAGAAGTGCGCTCCGGGAAGCATTCGTTCGAATCAAAACCCTTGGTTCGAGTGAACATTACTCCGAAAAAGATTAGGAGTAACATTAGTTTGAACCAAGGGGTTTGATTCGAACGAACGTGCCCTGGAGCACACTTCCTAGTTTGAACCCGCTGTTGAGTGGAATAACACGCGGGCGAGATTATGCTAATGAAGCACGGGATATTTAAATCCCCGCTTCATTAGCAATTTTGGTCGGCTAAATTTCATCCCTAGCTTGAACTAGGGAGCAAGTGTAGACATACCCTTAAAACGAATTAGGAGCCAGAAGGGCAGGCATCCTGGCTCAGTTCCAGCTTGAACTGGGTCCAGGAGCTCAGAAACTCCACCGGACAGGGGCTACTGCCACCCAGAGGCAGCAGCGCTGGGCAACAGGCAGCCGATCCGCGAGGGGAGCTGTTTTTTAAACTGGCTCCCCTCACAGACCAGCTCCCACCTAGCAGCCCATGCTACTGCCTCTGTATCAGAGGCAGCAGTGCAGAGTAACAGAGACTGGCTGCCGGCCACATCTCTGGGGAAATATAGAATAGTTTAGTAACTGATAAGAATTCATGAGATTAATCGATTATTCATTTAACCGATATTTAACATCCCATGTCAAGTGTTGTAAAATGAGGTTAAATCTGAACTGACAATTAAAAAGCAGGATTAGAATTAGGGATGCGAACAGTTAACCAGTAAGAGCTGGAACAGCTCCTTGCCTGTTGCAGGAGCCCCATGGGATGCCCGTGGCGTACAGGGGCTGTTCCAACTGGGCTCCAACAATACGTTTAACCAGTTAAGCAATTAAATAGGATTTTACATCCCTAGTTAGAACCTCATTTTGAGCTTATTTCCGGCAGCAGCCATAGCTCATTATTAAAGGGACTATGTTTTTGAGATCAGCAAACTGAAGGTCAAGGTTTTTAAACATTATTAAAGGAGAATGGAGCTAATTTTTCAAATCTGAAAAAGAGCTTTACTATTAACATTTAATCCTTCAATATTTGATCAATAAAAATTAGTTGCTATAGCAGGACTCCATCACTGTATCAAGGGATTCAGTAAATCCACCTGTTAGCTCACAAATGCACTTTTTAAAACAAGGTTGAACATTGTAGAAGGTTCCCCTGCAGCAGTTTAGTCTTCCCCTCTAAACTCCTGTTCTTGTGAACAAATTCAGTTCTCCCTTAGGATGTGGCAAATGCTCACTACGTTGTAGGTTGGGGCTGATGGCTAATTTCACTTAACTTGACAATGATTTGAATTTTGATCTTTGGCATTAAAAGGCAGTGCAATGGGGTTTCTGCACTAAACTGATAGTGTTTTCCCCACTGCTTCAGCTAAGATGCAGAGGATCTGTCTTGCTCCTTCTAGTGAAGACTCAGAACAAACCTCACTTGCCCTATTTAGCACTCACATTTTATTTTATAACTGTCATTATTAATAGAACTAATTGCTTGCACCATCAGCCACTCATCTTCATGAGCAACACACAAGATTCTTACCCGTCATTCCAGAGGCATAAGAGGTGTTTTTTAATGAGTTCCAGTATGCCCTCAATCCACAGCCAGAAAGGAAAATTTTTCTCATTTATATTTTCCTAAAATTACAGTACATGGGGAGAAAGACACAAATAACTGTTACAAAATGAAATTTGAGTATAATGGACTTAACTTATAATAATATAGTGAAACAACTGCATTGTCTCTCCTTCCTCTCTTCTTCTCCCCTGTTTTTCTTAACACTTTTCCTCTTTCTTTGTTCTTTTTTGCTGCTATTTTTATTTCTTTTTACAGTCTCCTCTCTTCTCTTCTTTCTAGCAAGGAGCGGAAGAACCGGAGCTTTGAGGAAAAGTGCTGCCTTGGGATGAGGTGTATCCATTGACACCATCTCACACTGGTCTGTGTTAGGGATGTAAGAATGATGGACATCGTACCCAAAGGACTGAATGTTTAAATGGGTAATCAATAAGCTCATGGGTTACCCAAATGGTTACATGTCAGCTCCTGCACCAACTTACATTTGATCTGCTACCACTACAGGCATGTATCCTGGGACATGTCTTCGTTGCAGTAAACTTGTGCTTTTCCTTGGGTGTTGCCCCTAATCAGCTCCTATTCACTAGTTAACTACTCTCTTTATTTAAGACCAATGAAGGTCTTTCACTTGATGACCCACAGATAAAATTAAAGTGCTGGAATAGAAGCCAGGAGCAGTAGATTATTTTATTATATTGAAATACTTAAATCTATACATACAAAGAGCTCTGGATGACTTTTACAGAAATGAAGATTCAGTCCCTGAAAAGATGCACACACCTCAGCAATCTAACCTAGTCCCATATAATTTACATGAACTAATCATGACTGAATCCAACTATCCATTCCCCCTAGCCTCCTGAAAAGTGAAAAAGTATAAAGAAAAATATTTGTATAACACTCCAGTAGAAAAACTCTATGCAAAAGAATCCTCAAACAAGGGAAGTCAACACTTTGTTCTCATTATCTAACTTGTTAAATAGACAGTTCCTACCTTGCAGAATCTTGTCCAAGGAATAAGGCCATCAAGAGAGCATCCACCTGTTGGACCTAAACAACAAATCAATAGATGGGTTTCAGATGTGCTTATTTGAAATATCAATTAGACTCAAAACTTAATGAAGGTGAAACCAATATATATTTGCATATTAAATTCTGAGCATTTGTTTTGTTTCAGTTAGGGGTGTAAAAAAAGATGCTACTGATTTAGCTGTTTGAATAGCTGGTGTAGAGATAGCAATGCACTTTTGCATTGTCATCCCTCTAGAAAGTGTACTGAAGAAGCAGAATGTATGCAAATTTCAAAAGTTCGTTCTGACAGACACCAGGTAAGAGCAACTGAGAGCTCTGCTACAGATTTTATATTAATAATTAGGATCAGAACTAACCCTAAAACTGTTGTTATATATGACATTTTCATCTTCAAAATAATTCTAGAAATTTTGTCCCTTCTTACTTATTTATTGGCAGATGTCATCATACTGAAATTAGGAGTACTAGCCATGTAAGCTGAGAGAGATTTGGTCCATTAACTCATCAATTATTGCAATATCCTGTGAGATCAAGTTTTATTCCCATTTCAGCTTTAGTGATTTGCCAAAGGGCATGCAGGAAGTTTTTATCATAGCCAGTAATAAACCTCATATCCTCTGACTCTCAAGCCTATCCTTAACCACAAAATCATTCTCTTTCCTGTTAGAATCCAGTAGGGATGTAAGAGTGTAACTGTTGAAATGGTTAACTAATAAACATGGCTCTGTATCAGAGCCTGCATAAGCCGACTGCCGGTCTCACTCCTGCATTGCAGGCTCTGTGGCATAAGCTTTATACCACAAAGTCTGCAGTGTGTAACTGCTAAGATTTTTTTTAATGGTTAAAGAGTTACAATATTAACCAGTTTTTTAAATCCCTAGAATCCAGTAGCGTGTGCACGTTTTGTTTTAAAGGAGTATCTATGGTTTTTCCCTTTAAGAAAACTGTAGCCCAGTTGCCTTCAGCTGTGTCAATAGTAACATGGTCAAAATCCCTCTGAGCATGCAACATCACAAGGAAAGTACAGGTTGGACCTCCCTTATCCCGCACCGTCGGGACCTGACCAGTCCCAAATGAGGGGATTTGCTGGACCAGGGGAGGTCCCTCCCATCATGGCCCATGCTGGCTTGCTGCCCTCGGCTAGAACTCCAGCCCTGCCCTGCTGCTGCCTGCTCAGATGTGGTTGCCCAGACTGGTGCTCCATGATTGCTGCTGGGGTTGGAGCTCTGCAGTTGCTGCTGCTGGCCAGAGCTCCCTGTCTGGGGCTGCCAGAGCTCCATGTCTGGGGCTGGAGCTCTGTGGCTGCTGCTGCAGGCCCCCCGCTACCACCTGGCTGCAGGGTCAGAACTCCCTGTTGCACCGTTCACCCCTCTGCCCGCCCCCCAATGTTGGGCTCCCAGCTGAGTTGCTGCCTCCCTTCCCCTTTTTCCTCCTGCCTGCTGCTCCTCCTCCTTCATGGTCCGACATCCCTATTCATGGCCTTTGTGGCCTGGGGGAAGGGAAGCACGTGAAGTCTCCTCTTGTCCTGGAAAGCGCCGCATGCTTCTTGCAGCGTGGGAACAGGAAGTGCATGAAGTCTCCTCCTGCCATGCAAGGAGGCGGGTGCCTAGAGAGAACTATCAGCTGTTCAGAACAGCTGGTAGTTCTCTCTAGAAGGGAGGAGGGAGTGGGCAAAGACTTCACTGTGCTCCCCCACCCCCAGGACAATCAGGGTCTGTGAGAGGGGAAGCATGGAAGTGTCCCAGGCCAGCCTTTCGTCAGAGGCCCCACCCCTTCCAGGGTGGTCTGGGACCACTTCAAAAATTAGTGAAGTGGCTCATCTAAAATTATTGGCCACCCCTGTCCTGTCAACTGCAAGTCTTTGCTTCTCTAATCCTATCCAGTATCCTCCTCCTCCTGATTTGTAATCAATCAAACTACAATCTCCAGGTATAAGGGAGATATCTTTTTTTCCCTATATCCATCTAGAACAAGTATCAGTTCTCAAAATCATCCACAGTATCATAACACAGAAGAAAGTCTCAAATTTATTGCCGCTAATGAAGATTCTCCCATCAATTTTTCCAGAATTGAGATGAAGTTTTATATTTAAAATGTAATGCAATGATAAGATCGAAGGTACCTATTTACAAATTTCCCAAGTTGTGAAATACCAAACTGAGATGTGTCAATGTTCAATCTTCCTCTATCTAACAGCAGGAAGTGAATGTATTTGCCTTTTTTATTAGAGAATTTTAGAAAAAACAAGTGATTTAAACTAACAATGGTAAATTATTTAACAAAGAATGCCAAAACTTTTAAAGATTTGGTATCTTGAGAACATACCAGGGCTAGAAAAAATGCTTTAAAAACATTGGCCAGCCGGATTTCCAATTTAATTTTTTTTAAATATCACTTTTAATAAAATTGAAGGCTAACGGAAATGCTTCCTGGGAATTAACAACAAAGGTTTTTGTTTTGGTTTGTTTTTAAATTAAATATTTCCTTCCGAACTCTTATCCAAATGCTTCAGAATGGAATTAGTCAGGGTCTCTGAGAACCAGACAGGAAACTGGCACTTTTTCATTGTTCACTTTTGTTGTGTACATCTCCCTTGAACAGTGAATTGGGGTTTAGCTAAGGACATGGTGGGAGAGGAAGGAAAGGAGGTTTTTATCTTAACACGTACCTTTAAAACTATCACAGATCTCTTCGTCTAGCCCTGTCTTTTATGCAGTCAAGGCTATATATAGCAGGTTTTGGGTAACGGGCAAGCGTAACATGAAAACCCAAGACAAAAATTACAGTTACTGGGGAAAATAACCCATTTCTTGAAGAAATATTGCAGTGCCCTCGCAGAAGCAGTTTTGGGCAATGGTAGATAATGTAACAATGGTACAACAGTAAGAATGTAACAATGGTAGATAATGTAACAATGGTAGACAATTGGAATAAAAAACATGAAAGTCCAATATGGTAGTAAGTACAGCTGGTCAAAATGTTCAGATTTAAAAATCTGACTTAAAAAAAGGCAGGGGAGAATCAAGCTTCTCATGTTTTCTATGGAAAAGTTCATTTCATTTTTGTTAGGCAATAAATCATTTTCCCTAGTCATCAAAAAGGTCATCTACTTAATATAACCAAGAGAAAGGAACATAAAAGAGCTTATAGATGTAAAAAAGCTTTACAGGCTCCTACCAAGAAGTTTCTCCCCCAGCATGCTCAACTGATCTGCATGAAGTCCCCTTTTAGTTACAGAAGAGAACTGCCAACTCAGTACGTCAGAAAGTTGAGACCATCTTGCACAAGGCGGGTTCAGAAAGAAGGACAAGTTCTAGAGAGAAAACACCATGTCCACAATTTTAAACACACATGAAACTTAGGAGCAAAGGGGTATGGTTAAAAAAAGTAAGTTTACACAAGATGTGATGAAGTTTGATGATAAACGAGGACATCTACAAAGATCAGTGTTTCTCAAAGTGGTCTGCGGACCCACTCTGAGAAAGCTGTTACCCGGCCGCTCTGGTTTACTTACCAGCTCCACAGCCACGGAGCCTAATGGCACCCATTGGCTGCGGTTCACCGTTTGCATCCAAGAGAAGCCGCCGGAAGCCGCAGCCTGGGTCATGCTGCTTCTAGGGTTGTTCAATTTTGATTAATCAACTAACAGAGTATTCTATAGAATGTCCATTAACTAGGTGATAAGGAGTACGCTCACTATCCACTGCACCTCTTTCTTTGAAACATACAAGAGTCGTGGGTAGTTGGACCCCGGTGAGCTTCTTACTTCGAAATGAACAAAAGCTGCGGACAGCTCTTATACATTTCAAAAAAGAGAAATGCAGCAGTAAGGACACCTCTGCATTCCCTGAGCCCCACGGAGATGGTGGTATGGGGAACTGGCTTTTAAGCCGGCTCTCCCTACTACCAGTTGCTTTGATAGACTCAGCGGGGGAGAGGGGAAGGGGAGAGCAACTAGTTGAATGACTACTTGACTATCCAATAAGCTTATGCTTATCGGGTAGTCAACTAGTCACTTATATCCCTAGCTGCTTCCCACAGCTCACCTTGGCTGCAAACAGTGAACTGCAGGCAACGGGAGCCCTCCGTGACTGTGGAGCTGGTAAATAAACAAACCTGAGCAGTCTGGTAGCAGGTCTCAGAGTGGGTCCATGACCCACTTTGAGAAACACTGACATAGATGGAATGCCTAGCTAACCTGGGGAAACAATTAACAATATTGATGGATTCTTCTCTGAGAAAAAACAAAACTACAGCACTTCTCTTTGGGTATGTCTACACTGCATTCCTCTTTCGAGAAAGGAATGCAAATGCAACCGAGCAAAATTGCAAATGAAGCGCAGATTTACAAATCTCGCGCTTCATTTGCATAATGGTGTCTGGGCGCTTTTTCGAAATACCCTATTTCGAAAAAAAACCGCCATCTAGATGAGGTTACTGCAGAAGAAAAAACCCTTCTTTTGAAATAACCCTTACACCTTAAAAAATGAAGTTTAAGGGCTATTTCAAAAGAAGGTTTTTTTTTAAAATAACCCCATCTAAACGGTGAGTTTTTTTTCCGAAATAGGGTATTTCGAAAAAGTGCCGGGACGCCATTATCAAATGAAGTATGAGATTTGTAAATTTCGCTCAGTTGCATTTGCATTCCTCTCTCGAAAGAGGAATGCAGTGTACATACCCTTTGGTTTGCTGGGTAAGATTAAACCCATGCATGTTACTGAAGAGGAATTAATTACTGAATATATGCAGTATTCCAGGAGAAGCCAAATCAACAGCTGTATAAACTATAATAAAGGATACTACAAACAATACCCCAATCTACGCACATAAAAACACAAACCCCAACCAAACAAAAAAACCCTTATATCCGATAAGAAATGAACTTCAGAATAAAAACAAAAGAATGAATGTCAAATATTATGAATTAACATGGAAAGACAACTCACATCTCCCTTGTAAGTTGTACATAGTTTTCAGGGTACTGACTTACACTTTTAATGCTCTATCTATCTTTAACACCAACAATACTTAGAAGTAAGTCTTCTGTAAATACCTTGGGTTCAGAAGTCAGCATATTGTACCACAAAATAGAAGCCCATCCACTTGGAAGTTGGCTCACATTTGAAATCACAACAATGGGAAGGGACGTGGTCTATAAAGGAAAGAGATTTTTGGAATTATCAGGGATACCACTATACTACTGAATATACTTCAGAGTATATATACTTAAATCAGTTACTATGTAATTATCTTTCATATACAATACATATATTATCAGTTTGTAATGAACTGGGGCTATGTTTGTACAACTAATTAATTCTGACCAATATGTGAAGTGTTGTAATGAAAAACTGCTGCATTACCAATATCTATATTAAGGGTGGGCAATCATTTTTAATGGGGAGCCACTCTAAGATTTTGGGAAGCGGTCAAGGACTGCATTTCTGTCAAGAGAGTGCAGGATCTGGGTCAGAGGTTGGGTGCAGAAGGGAGCCTCGGGTATTGAACTGGGGTGCAGGAGGGGGTGTGGAGTCAGAGAGGGAGTTTGGGTGAAGGAGGGGGTTGTGATCTAGGGCAGAGGCATGGAATGCAGGGTCCAGGTGGAGGCATGGGTGTAGGAGAGGATTCTGGCCTTGGGCAGGGGCTTTACAAGAGACTGCAAGGTCTGGGAGGGAATTGTGACCTAGGAGAAGGGCTGGCAGCAGGTTTGGGTGATTACCTGGGGCAGGGGAATGGGGTGCACGGTCAGGGAGGGGATTTGGGTGCTGGAGAGGATTCTGGCCTGGGGGAGCGTTATTGGAAACTGGCCAATGGGAGCTGAAATTTTGTGGGGGGGCGCGGGGCGGAACAGAGCACAAAGCCTCCCTCCTTGCTCTCCATCATCCAAAGCATAGAGCAGATACATTTAAGGCGGCTGCAGCTGCACTGTGTTGAAGAGTTCCAGGGAGGCAGCTGTGGGCTGGATCTAGTGGCTTGGCAGGCTGGATCCAGCCCACTAGCTGCCTCTTGCCCACCCCTGATCTATATACATGTGGATCCATAATTGCTGACAGGGCCTGGAGTAGGTACATGCCAGACAGGCACAATGTGACATACTTAAGGTTAACAGTGGTATGTAAACCTCATCAAGCTCATACTGAAAAAACAGCTGCCTCTTTAGAAATCTTATTATACATATATATGGGGGAAACAAAAAACATGTCAAAGATTCACTAGTGAAGGAATGTAATAGGTGCTAGTACAGATTGCTATGACTAAGTTTACAAAACCCAAATTTCCTATTTTCACACGATCATAACTTACCAAACCTTTTAGATTGACGTTTTCTATGTCTGTATACTGAAGGGAGGGAAAGTTGAGTTTTTTTGAGACTGGGAAAGTGTATTGGAATTGGTTGGACATCCCCTCAACCAAGACCTCTGTTTTACATCTCATTCTAAAGCTGGCATCTCCAGCACCACTTCTAATGCTAGGCTGGGACACTAATTGAGTTTTAACGTGAAGGGAAGAGTGCTATGCAAAGAATGGCAGGCACCATTTCATGCAGCACAACATGTTCTTTGTCAGGTTATACAAAGTAGATCCAGACTGACTTAGGTGCTGAGACTGAAAGAATCAAAATATAAAGGCCCTATCACTATATGCAGTATCACTGCTAAGTATCATCAATACTCTTGAAAATAACAATGGAGATGGAAAAATGCTGAAAATTCTAATACAGTAAGACCTTAATTTCATGAATACCACTCTTCCCAACTTTCTCCCCAAGAGGACAACAAAAGTCACAACAAAAGTGATGTTGATGAAGAACAATTACACATATTCAGTGCATTCAAGCCTCCGGACTGGTTTGAAGGACAAGAAAGTGATACAATGCACCATGCTGCATCTTACTATGCACTATAGCAGTGGTCTCCAACCTTTTTAAGCACAAGATCACTTTTTGAATTTAAGTGCAATGTATGATCTACCTCAAACCCAAACACCCTTGCCCCACTTCCTTAGTGTTCCTTCTCTGAGGCTCTGCCCCTACTCACTCTATCCTCCCTCCCTTCCCCATCTTACCTCCCTTTAACCAGGCAGGGACAGAGGGTTGGGGCACAGGCTCTGGTCTTGGGCTAAGGGATCTGGAGTGTGAGAGGGGCTCTGAGCTAAGCCTGGGGCAGGGAGTTGGGTGCAGGAAGGGGTTCAGGGTGCAGGCTTTGGGAGGGAGTTTGGGTTCCAGGGGTCGGGGCTGAGGGTGTATGAGGGGGTTCATGGCTGGGGCAGGGGTTCAGATCCTGCTCCAGCTGGACACTGCTTACCTCAGGTGGCTCCTGGGTGGTGATGCAGTGGGGCTAAGGCAGGCTCACCCCTGCCCTGGCCCTGAACCATTCCCAAAGGCCGCCAGCAAACTCCATCCCAAGCCCTGTTGTGCCCCCCTGCCTCCTTTCTGTGGAGACAGAATACAGGGTGGAAGAGGGGACACCCTGACATCAGTGCCCCCCTCCTCTCCCTTCCCAGCTCTGTACTAAAAGCAAGAGGCTCCTGGAGTGAGGGGCAGCTCCAAGGCAAAGGGCAGAAGGTGTGCAGCAGTGGAGGGAGAGGCAGCTGAAGAGCCAGCACTTGATAGCCTCTTGGCCAAACCTGTCAGAATCACTTGTCAGAGGCTCCAAGATCTACCAGTAGATCTGGATCTTCTGGTTGGTGACCGCTGCACTACAGCTAGGGCTCAATGTTTGTCTCAGAGATTACCAAAGTCATAGATTCTGTGACTTTCCAAGACCACCGTGACTTCTGCAGTGGGGCAGCTGAAGAGCCAGCACTTGATAGCCTCTTGGCCAAACCTGTCAGAATCACTTGTCAGAGGCTCCAAGATCTACCAGTAGATCTGGATCTTCTGGTTGGTGACCGCTGCACTACAGCTAGGGCTCAATGTTTGTCTCAGAGATTACCAAAGTCATAGATTCTGTGACTTTCCAAGACCACCGTGACTTCTGCAGTGGACTCAGGTGGTCCTGGGGCTAGCCACAACGACTGCTGTTTGAGTGGTTCCCAGAACCAGCTGCCAATGGATTGTCTGAGCAGCTGGCACTTAGGAACACTTCAGCAGAGGTCCCAGGGCAGTGGCCCCCAGCAGTAGTCCTAGGGCAGCCAGAGCAATTGTGCCTTGGTAGCCCTTGCAAGCAGTGGCCCCTGGGGTGTGCCCACCAATAGCTGTCTCGCAAGACTGAGCCTCATGACTACCGTGAAGAAGTGTAAGCTGAAGTGGTGCAGCCATGTAACATGATCATCTAGCCTATCCAAGATCATCCTCCAAGGGACCATACAGGGAAAAGAAGAGACAGACTGGTGGCATAAAAGAGTGGACAGGAATGTACTCCACGGAGACTCAAGCACTGACACACAATTGTTAGGCTGCAGACAACTGGTTGATTGATCATCAATGGTGGTGCCCCTATAACCAATGCGGTTAATGGGAGTGGTGGTGATGAAGATGATGTATAATATGAGTCAAGGACAGGTCACGGGTCATCAAATTTTGTTTATTGCCCATGACCATGATACAAATACTATGATTAAATGTAGGCTTGACCATAAATATTCTGAGACATAACTAAAAATTGAACTCAGGTGCCAATTACTTCATAAAATAGGAGTTAAATAACTTAGAATCTTTTAAGTTTTAATTTTACTCAGAATTAATTCCATCCCTATCTAGTCTATGTATTAACCTTACCTCTAAATCTACTACTAGCCCAGGCTGGCACAGCTGAGTTTCAAAGCTGAGGGAATGAAGTTCTTCTGTTACAATGAGAGGACCCTTAAAAAGAAACCAATCATAAATGGTTAAGCTCAAATCCTTAAAACTTTGTAAATAAGATACTTTAGGCTGTTAGGATTTATATGTTGTGTTAAATACTGTTTAACCCATACCAAATTTTGGTAAAGTACCTTTTATTTCCATGCAGTAGATAAACTAACTGTCAATCCAAATAATATGCTGTTTTGTATTCACTGGTTTATGTAAAAGCAAGACCCCCCCCCCCCAAAGATATTTTTCAAATATTAAAATTAAATGCCTCTAGAGATTAGAACAAGTGTCATTAGGCAGGGATGGAAACAGTTTGATGGTCTCTTGGCTTAGACAGAATGAATTCTCTCCCCCATTATTTCTTTTACTTCCAAACTTGTGTAGAAGGCTTTATATTTTAGAAAGGCAAATCAAATTAAGACAAAGAGCAGTTTCTGGGTAATATCTCAAGATAGCTTTGGACTCTATATGGAAAAACAAACTGTTCATTAGTACCTTATAGTCTGAAACATCTTTGAATCTGTTCCAATGGCTCTTACTTTACTACATTTAAATGCAGAGGCACGCACTGAGTCCAGCAGCCCCCGTTCACAGTGGACAGTGCTGTTTGCCACACACAGGGGGTGGGGGTGAAACAGATGTCCGTTGTGGCCAGGTCTGTTCTGGTAGCAGCTCCTGCCCATGGCCAGCCCTGGCCACCATGAACAGGGGCTGCTTGGTAGCAACAGCCCCTGTCCGCAGGGGGCCCAGTTCCCTGTTGGGACACCTGTGGACGGGGACTGCTTCCTAGCAGCACCCTAATCCCCCCTGCTGCCTCTGATAGAGGCACGGGGGGAGGGTGGATAGGCGGCACCCCAGAGATAATGCTGGAGGGAACCAGCTTTTAACATGGCTCCCCCCAGCACTGGCTCCTATCCCCCCCCCACACACACTTTTTGCCTCTCATAGAGGGACTGGCGCCAGCAGTGGGAACCGGCGCCAGTGGGGAACAAAGCTTGCACCATTTCCCTGCTGTGCCTCTGCTTCCCCTGCCCCCTATGGAGATGGTTCTGGTGGCAACTGACATAAAGCCGGTTCCTCCCAGCACCAGCTCCTGCTCCTCCCTCACTTCCTGCCTCTCTCTGATAGAGGCAGCAAGGGTGGGGGAAGCGACTAGTTGAGTGGCTACTCAACTTATCGGCATTTGCTTATCGGATAGCCGACTAATCGCTAGCATCCCTAGTATGGAGGGTACCTTCTAGAGATGTTAAGTACTAGTCAACTATCTGATAAGCAAATGCTTATCTGATAGTCAACAGGATAGTTGACTAGTCGTTTCCTCCTCCCCTTGGTGCGCCGCCCTATCGTGTAATTGAATAACTGATGCAAAAATGCATTGACTATTTGATTAGTTAATTACACAATACTTAAGATCCTTAGTACCTTACATGGCAAATCTCACCCTATCAGACAGTGTCAGCCTTCACCTCTCCTAGAAACTTATAGATACTCCTTCCCTAAGGGTAGCAAAGGGTACGAGCCAAGGCACTGGCTGTGGTCCATAGTACTATTCCGTCGAGCAGGAGTGGGCAAGAGGCTGCCAGTGAGCTGGATCCAGCCTGCCAAGCCACTGGATCTGGCTTGCGGCCTCCTCGCCGGAACCCTTACGCAGAAAGCAGCTCACTCATTGGGCAGCGGGCTGCTCTCTACTCTGGACTGCCAGCGAAGGAGGAAGGAGACTGTACATGCTGCTCTAGGTCCCCAGCAAAATCTCTCAGCTCCCATCGGCCAGTTTCCGGCCAATAGGAGCTGAGAAATTTTGCTGAAGCCAGGGACAACGTGTGAAGCCTTCTCCCTCCCTCTTCCCTCTTATGCTCACAGCAGACCCCACATGAAGCAGCCTGCCAACTGAGAGTTCAGCAGAGAGCCTGCCTCAGGTCCTGCAGGGCTTCTGGCTGGGAGCTGCTTAGGTAAGCACCTCCTGGCCAAAGCCTTTGCCTGGTACCCACCCCCTCCCAGATCGTGCATCCTCTCCTACATCCCTACCCCAGGGTAGAATCCTCTCCTGCACCCATACTCCCTTCTGGACTCTACACCCCAATCCTCTGTCCCAGGTCACAACCCCCTCCTTCACTCAAACTCTTTTCAGACCCCACACTCTCTCCTACACCCCAGGCTCCCTTCTGCACCCAACCTCCCTCCCAAACCCCCCATCCTTCTCCAAGGTGACAACTCCCCCACAGATCCTGTATCTTCTCCTATACTCCTCCCCCAGGCCAGAATCCTCTCCTGCACCTATACCCCCTCCCTGACCCTGCACCCCATTCTCCTACCCCTTTTTACCACTCAAACCCTCTGCACCCCCTTCTTCCAGGTCACAGCACCCTCCTATACACTGCATCCCCTGCTAAAGGCCCCCCCCTCCACTAGAATCCTCTCCTGCACCCTTACTACCTCCTGGATTCTGCCCCCCAAGCCCGTGCCCCAGATCACAACCCCCTCTTTCACCCAAACTCCCTCTCAGACCCCATGCCCCCTCCTGTACCCCAATCCACTACCTAAACTCCCTTCTGCACCCAACCTCTGTGCCAGATCCGACAGCCCCTCTATAGAAATGCAGCCATTGAGCACTTGCCAAAATCTTGGAGTGGCCCCCCACATTCAAAAGTACTGCCCACCCCTGCCCTACAGAGCATGTAGACATTTCAGCAAGAACTTCCTCTGAGTCTCCTCCATGGATGCTGCTCAAGAATCCTAGAAGAGTTCTGCCATTGGCAAAAATTCTTGTTAGAGCCATCCTCATATGGGGAAGAAGGCACAAAGGAAAAGTACTGAGGTATAGGACCTTCTATATAGGACAGCACCTGTCTGAGTCCAGGACTTGCTTTCCCAGAGATGGTAAATCTTTACCCTCCTCTGCCCATTTTCCTCTTGAGGATTTTTCCATTGGATTGGGAAATTCAGCACATTATCAGGCATTTTATAGTCATCTTACTATTTTACAAATACTGGACCAATGACGACAGAAAGGAAGAGAAAGTCAGTGCTTCTTACCTCATTAGTTCTGCTTCCTGTATTTTTTTGTTCCTTTAATTGCTGCAAACAAGAAGAACCAAAAATAAAATGATAGTCCTGACTGAAAAAGTGACCATTACAAATAACAGTGAGTATTTACATAAATAATGCAGCGTTTGCACAGTCCCTTCTGCAGAACTGATCACAAATGTGCTGTTAGTCTCTGATCCTCTTTAGTTCCCAAATGTGGGAACCAGGGGATTTGACTGTAGATACAGTGGATAACTGTCTATTTACAAAAACATTCTGATGTGAAAACAGATATTGTCACCTGAATTAATATATTTTTATCACGCTGCAATGACTGTATAGAAAAGGCCTTTCTTTGAGGCACAAAAACAGTTATTGATGAGGGTGGGATAGACTGAATAATGATTATCATCAATGAACATCCACCCTAAATTGGTCCAGGAAAATGTCAGCAGATTCTGTACCATTGTTAGTTCCCTATATATAGAGCTAGGCACATAGGGGGAGAAGAATCTCCCATTTGCCTGTGATTCCTCTTCAGATAGGATGGATACTGGCTACCCTTCCTAAATCAGCATGGCAGTGAGATAGTCTGCTAAATTTGTGGGGCTGTGGCTCTCTCTCAATACATATAGAACCTTCCTACTCATTGCTTGCTGTGAAATCCTTCCCAGAAACACTCTCCCTACTGCCCTAGCATCTTAACTTCTACAGGCTTCCTCCTCTTCTCTCTTCCTCATAGAAGCTGATACCTTCACTATAACTCCTCAGGAAATGTTTGTTTCAGGCCATGAGATTTTTACCACCCTTGACTTTCCAGTATAGTAAGAGATTATAGAAAGTGTGGCCGCCAGCTCTCCAAAGCCCCAACCTTGCTTTCACTCAAATCAGTGGCATAACTCCTGATGTAGGGAACATCTGGCTATTTGGTACCAGTAGGGCAAAAAGCAGTGGCACTTTAGAGCACAGAGTCAGTTTAAGTCTCTGTTAGCAGACAGCATTCTTTTGACATACTAAACAATGATCTAAAAATGGGAAGACAAGAAAAATGTACCCTACCAGATGCCTGAACTCTGCTGCTAGGCTTCCATTAGTAGATTCCTCCATGTTCATTACTTTCGTATTTGTTCCCAGAATATTAAATTTTCTGAACCTACACGAAGAGGAGGGGAGAGTTATAAGAATTTAATTCCTTTAAAAATTACCCAATATGGCAAAAATAAATGGGAATAACTGCAGGTGTAACATACCCTTTCACTGTGTTCTTCTCACTCACATCCCTGCAAAGGAGATTTGGATCTTTGTAAGTTCCAAAAGCAAGCCACACACACAGAACAGCCTTATTTTCTCTTTTATTTGTAATTGATAGAACTGAGTGAAAGCTGGTGGTAATACTTGTGGAAAAAATTCAGTGACATTTCAAAACTCTGATCAGCTCTAGTAATCAAGAAAGCAAAATGTACATTAAATTAAATGTTATTTCACATCACACTGAATGCTTTCCCCCAAAAGTTTGATTATAAAGGCATCTTGGAAAAACCTAAAGACAGTCCTATGCTTCAGTACACTGTTTATAACTTTGCTACTCCACTGCAAAAGATGAGAGTTGATATATTCAAAACCCCTATTTGAAACCCCTCATTCCCAGCACAAAAAGCTACCATTTAATAGTGTTGCCAGTATTCATGATTTTATAATAAATCTCATGATATTTCCTAGTAAACTCCAGATTATGGAGTCAAATGATTATGTGATAATCTGTGTTTATGTTGTTAAAGAAAGTTTCTAATTTCTAATGTGATGTTTTGGAGAAAAGCCTAACTGCACACTAAAGAATAGAAGATAAATAAAAACAAATTATTTTTAAAAAAATCATGATTTTTCAGCTAATCATAATTCCTGGTGTTTGGATGCCTGGGCTTGGTAATAATACTGAATTATATCTCAAGCACACTGTTGGGTGACAAATGAATTTTGTTTAGAAAGTCTGGAATTTTCTGATTTGAGTATGAATAATCAGAGGTTTTATTATGATTAATACATATCTCAAATGTTTATCTTAATATGCTCTCTTCTGCATGTGGATAACCACAAAAATTATTTTGTCTTAAAAGTTCAATCTTGCCATTTGTATAGTCCCTAATGTGGAATATCTACTCTGCTAACTTAGGGATGGACTAGTTGATAATTAAAGCTGTACACATTTTTGCTTTCAGATATGACTAGTGGAGTATGCGCATGCATGTATACCCACACATACACACAATAGTGTCCATAATTTACTTGCACAATGAGTGACTTTCCTTAGCAAATAAGGCTCCAGTACTACAAAAGAGCTCTGTATAGTGGGACCTGTGTAGTTCCAGTCCTACAGTGAATTCTACATCTGTCCTTGTGGTGCAAAAGTGTACTAGAAATGAAAGAGGACATGGGAAATTGTTCTCTTGCACCTAGTAAAGAAGCAGAATTATAGGAGAAATGGCTCCTGTGATAGCTGATACAACAGGGGCCAAAGACTGTATATTTCATGTGCTTTTTACTGTGGCTGTTTATCATAATTATATACAGGACATACAAAAAATGCAACATACTTGTCAAATAAGACTTTCACTTTTAAATTATAATTCAGTTCCTGTAGCTTCACCAGCAATCTGGAAAGAGAAATAAGTACAGATGACTAACTGCACAAGCTTTACTGCTCTCAGAAACATAGCTCCTCTTTGATTCGATTTCATTATTTAGTTGATGAACAAAATGGCTTCTTGATTTGTCAGTCTCCTTTAAAAGATCAGTGAGTCAGCATGAAATTTCCACCCTGCTTTTGACTTCCTCACCTGAAATTCCTTTCCATTTTTTTGGTCAAATGCTACTCCCCTTTAAATCAACACACATTTTGCCATATGCTTCACTGGGAGTATCCCTGGTCCCTTTTGATTGATTGGACACTGCCCACTGAGAAATCATCTTTGACATATATGTTGATTTTTCTTTCCATTTTGAATAAACAGAGCCTGTATACAGGCTGTGAGCACCAGACCATTTATCTGCAATTACAAAATCAAATGATGCAGTGCAGTAAGCTCACCCCATTTTTCTGAAGCTCATAACTAAATGCTAACACACCATGCACTGACCTACACCTCAATCCACTTACCCCTATTCAAAAGTAAAAATGAAATAAGTGGTCCCTGTAGCATGCCATGGAGAAGCAATTCCACTCTATTTCAGACCAGTGAAGGGGTGCAAACAAGCATCCATGGCACTGAACACCCCACTAGCTTCCCATCCCATTATAGGCAGGGGGGAATCTGGTCTGAATAACTATGCAAAAGACAGGAACTCTGAAAGCT